ACAGTCCCCAGATAGCCTTGCAGCATCCCACCCCAAACAGCTATATCCCCACCTGGGGGAAGGAATTTTCTTAGGGGTCAGCAAGGCAGTGATGGAAGCAGGGATGGGAGCTGGGGGCTATGCCCCTGGGTGGGGGCGGGGCACGAGGCTGAGAGGCTCAATCCACTCCCAGAGGTTTCCAGAGGTCCCCCCAGTAGGACTGAGCCCCAGGTGCCCACAGGGGTCACTTGCTCGTTAATGCCCCAGCCTGCTGGCTTCCTACCTTCCCTGTTGTATTAATTGTCTAATCCTGCTTAGCAAATCACCCAAATGCAAGGGCTTAAGACAGTGATCGTTGCTTATCTCTCATGTTTCTGTGAATCAGGAATTCTGACAGGGCACAAGGGGAACAGTGTGTCTCTGTTTCTTGACGTCTGAGACCTCAACTGGGAGCCTCGAAGGCTGGGGCTGGGGGTCGTCTGAGAGGCAGTACTCCTCGCAGGGCTGCTGGCTGGCGCCGGCGGTGCCTCAGGACCTAACCGGGGCTGCTGTTTGTAACGCCCACAGGTGTGAGCTGGGCTTCCTTACAACGTGGCTGGGTTCCAAGGGCAAGAATTGAGGGGGGGAGGGGGAGGAGGAGGGGAGAGGGGAAGTGGAGGGGGAGGAGGAGGAAGGAGGAAGTGTAACAAAGAGGGGAGCACCGGGTGGAAGCCATCCTACCTTCTGTGACCCAGCCCCTGAAGCCTGTCGGAATCACCTCCTTTATACTCCATTGGTCAGAGCAGTCAGAAGCCCCACCCAGATTCAAGGAGAGGCGCACAGACCCCGCCTCTTGTGGGAGGAGCCTCAGCATATTGTGAAAAGGGCCTTATGGCTTATGAATACCAAGGGGGGACATCTTTGAAAATCACAACCTGCTCTTCCTTTTTCACTCCCCCAACCCCCTACAGCTGTTTCCTGGGGTCGCCTCCCAGACCAACAGCTCGCCCCCAAGCCCTTGCCTCTCTCAGGGTCATGGCTTTTGAGGGAACTCAGATCAAGCCATCACACAAATCAGGGGCGCCTGGGTGGCTCAGTCGGTTAAGCTTCTGCCGCTTGGTTTGGGTTCAGGTCAGGACGTCACAATTCGGGAGTTCGAGCCCCGCATAGAGCTCTGTGCTGACCATGCACTGATAGCGCAGAGGCTGCTTGCGATTCTCTGTCTCCCTCTCTCTGCCCTTCCCCCTCTCTCTTTTGAAATAAATAAATAAACATAAAAAAAGACATCACGCAAATCAGTATTATATTTACATAGGTGGGTATAGGTTACCTGAATGTTCAAAAAGAGATTTCTTTTTTTTTAATGTTTTATTTATTTCTAGGAGAGAGAGAGAGACAGTGTGAGCAGGGGAGGGTCAGAGAGAGAGGGAGTCACAGACTGAAACAGGCTCCAGGCTCTGAGCTGGCAGTCAGCACAGAGCCCGACGCGGGGCTCGAACCCACGAACCGCGAGATCATGATCTAAGCGAAAGTCTGACGCTTAACCGACTAAGCCACCCGGGCGCCCCTCAAAAAGAGATTTCTAAGGATACACACCAGACAACAGTGGGTCCTCTGGGAACTGGGATGGGGACGGGAAGGTTCGTCTGTAATATCTGATTTTTTTCCCCCGAGGAAGGATATCCTGCATCCGCTGTAGAACATAATAGACAAAGGGACAAGGTCAGGAAGCACTCCCAACTTACTATCTACAGGAACACTTAGCCCCGAAGCAGCTATGACTCTGAACACACACGGGAAGCACGAAGAAAGGAGCTAGAGGCAGCCCCTCTCTGTACCCTCAGCAGGGAGCCACCAGCCCATTTTACAGCTGAGCTGAGGGCTTGGGGTGGTTCAAGGGTCCAGGATTTCTGGGAGATCGGAGAATGGTCTCCCTACAAGAGCACTTGAGCCTCAGTTACCCAATCTTTGAAAGGGGTATGATAATAGCTATCCCACAAAGCTGCTTGGGAGGGTTACATACGTTATTACACACGAAAGTGACTGACATGGGACCTCGCACATACACACTACAGATGTATTGAGTGACACCCGTATGCCGGAAGTTGTTTTAAGTGTTTTTCATGTGTGAATCCATGTAAGTCCTCACAGTAAGCTGTGAAGTAGGAAACATTATTGTCTCAGGTTTGTAAAAGAGGAACCGGAAAGGTTAAAGAATGAGTCAAGGTCACACAGGAAGGCTGCCAGGCCCTCAGCCTTCCTTTGCTTCTGACTCCAAATGCAATGCTCCTGCTACCCATCATTCCTACCCGTTTCTCCCATGGAAAGAAATGAATGCACAAACAGGAAAAGTCAGAGCTAGAGAGAGACTATGTTTTCTTGGGCTTTTAAAGGACTGGGGGTGGGGTGCTCAGTCGGTTAAGTGTCCGACCCTGGATCTCAGCTCAGGTCATGGTCTCACAGTTTGTGAGATGGAGCCCCACGTTGGGTGCTGTGCTGACAGTGCGGAGACTCCCTGGGATTCTCTGTCTCTCTCTGTTCCTCTCTCTCTCTCTCTTTCAAAATAAAGAACTAAACTTTAAAAATAAATTAATTAATTAAATAAGGTAGTAGGAGGGCTGGTAAAACCCAAGAAGTAGATATCACTCCCTTCTCCATCCTCCCCTGTAAACCATCAACCATTGGGTTGGGACAGCTGGTGGGGGAAGTATCTCCCGCAAGATCCGAGGAAGGGGTTTCCCCCTCCCCTGACTCCCATTTCACTTTAAAGGAGGGAAAAGCTCCCCGTGCAATGAGGCAGAGCAGCAGGGTCCTGGGGGCTTCGCAGCCCTGTTGCCCCAGCAACCAGACTCGCAGTTTCTGGTACAAGAGTTGGCTGGGCCCACAGCTTGGGCTGGAGGGGATGAAGGGGTAGGAAGGAGACCTCAAAGGCATCTTCTTGCCCTCAGATCAGACCGCCCACACCCCAGCGCCAGAGGAATCTAGAGCCCTCATCAGCCCAGAGACACTGGATGGGGCGCGCCCACCCTTGAACTTCCCTCCTGAATCTGGGGCAACTGTTTAAATTTTCCAACTTTTGTTCACCCTGGAAGACTATTGTGAAACCTCCCAGGATTCACACAGCATATGGACCATACCCAGCTCTAGGGGACATTTTCTTTTCTGTTTCCATCCCCCCCCCCCCTTTGACTGAGGTATTACTTGGATAAGGTAAAGTGCACAGCTCTTAAGTTTTAGCTCAATGAATTTTTATGCAAGTATATACTTGTGTATCCATCACCCAAACCAAGAGAGAATATGTTCATCCCTCCAGAAAATTCCCTCATGCCCATTCCTGGAAGTCCAAATCCTCTCCTCTGACTCTGTCACCATAGATTCATTTTGCCTGTCCTTGAATTTCACATAAATGGAACCCTACTGCGTGCCTTCTTCTGTCTGGTGTCTTTCACATAACATTGAACCTGTGGGAATCGTCCTTGCCATCCCAAGTATTATTAGTCTGTCGTTTTTCCTTGTTGTGTAATATTCCATTGTAAGACTGTGCCACGATTTATTTCTTCTTCTGCTGCTGGATATTTAAGCTGTTTGCAGTTATGCCATGAACATTCTTGTATATCAACATAATTTATATCTCTGTTGGGTAAATACCCAGGAGTGCAAGGGCTGGGTCACTGGGCAGGTGCATGTGCAATTTTTGGAGACATTGCCAAACAGTTTTCCAGAGTGGCTATAGCATTTTACATTCCCACCAGCAGTGTGTGAAAGTTCCAGGGGTGGCTGGCTGGCTCAGTCGGGAGAGCATGTGATTCTTGATCTCAAGGTCATGAGTTAGAGCCCCACAGTGGGTGTAGAGATTACTGAAAAAAAAGAAAAAAAAAGTTCCAATGGTTCACATCATTGCCAACACTTGGTACCATCAGTTATCATTTTAGCCATTCCAGTTGTGATATTTTACTCTGGTCGTATATGCTTTTCTCTGATGACTTATGATATTGAGCATCCTTTTGTGTGCTTATTGACTATTTTGCTGTTCTACGTTGCTAACCGTCCAAGTCTTCTATCATTTTATAAATTTGGTTGTCTTCTCCTTATTGATTTGTAGGAGCTCTTTATATATTATGGATATGCATCCTTTGTCAGATATATCTGTTGCAAATATCTTCCTTTTGGGAGAATATTTCCTACTCCAAATTATCTCCCCAAGTTCTGGACTGGGAGAGGGCACAAGAGCAAAGAGTCACAGGGTCTCCTGGGTGGCTCAGCTGCTTAAGCATCTGACTCTTGATTTTTGCTCAGATTGTGATCTCCTAGTTCATGATATGGAGCCCTGAGTTGGGCTCGGTGCTGACAGTGAGGAGCCTGCTTGCGATTCTCTCACCTCCCCCCCCACCCCCGCCAGCTTCTCCTCTGCTCGTGCTCTCTCTCTCTCTCAATAAATAAATAAAAGAAAAAAAGCAAATAACCACAGATTATTTTCATGTCCCATCTTCATGAAAAATCCCTGGTTTATTGAATGCCTGTGACATGCCAAGGTCTTTCCATCAGTTATATCCTTCAATAGTTATTCTTATTTAAGTCACGTATTCAACCTATACTTGAACATCTAATGGACGTCAGATATTGGAGGTTACATTCAGGACAAGAGTCAAGGGCTGAAAAGAGACGCGTTCCAGTGGGGAGTGGGGAAGCAGACTGCACACATGAAGACAGAGACGCAAGGCAGGTCCAGAGGACGGGAAGCGCCAGAGAGGTGGCAGATGGGAGAGTGACTGAGGGTGGTTGGAAAGGTCCCACGGAGGAGGTGACGTGGAGCAGGGACTTGGAGAAGGCAGCAGAGTTAGCCACAGTGAGATCTGGGAGGAAGGGTGTTCTAGGAAGGGGAACAGCTAGTGCGAAGTCTCCGTGAAACCTAAGGGCAGTAAGCAACGGGGAGAAGGTTCCCGAAGAGTCTGACTGAAGGATTTGCATTGAACCTAGGAGCCAGCGGGATGGAGAGCAGGGTCTGAACAGAATGACAACGTGAACTTTCTTGTCTTTCAAAGAGCCCTCTGGGCCCCTGCAAAGACTGATGGGAGTGAAGGCAGAAGCTGGAGTCCAGGGCAGAAGTGACAATTATCCAGGTAAGCGGTGATGGGGGCTGGACTAGGGTGGGGACCACAGAAATGGGAAGAAGTGAGTGATGTCTCTGGGACATTTTCTTTTCTCTGTTTCCTTCTCTCTCTCTCTCTCTCTCTTTTTTTTTAATGTTTTATTTATTTCTAGGAGAGAGGGAGAGACAGCGTGAGCAGGGGAGGGTCAGAGAGAGAGGGAGTCACAGACTGAAACAGGCTCCAGGCTCCGAGCTGGCAGTCAGCACAGAGCCCGATGCGGGGCTCGAACCCATGAACCGCGAGATCATGACCNGAGCTGGCAGTCAGCACAGAGCCCGATGCGGGGCTCGAACCCATGAACCGCGAGATCATGACCTAAGCGAAAGTCGGACGCTTAACCAACTAAGCCACCCAGGCGCCCCATCTCTCTCTCTTTTTTAAATGAAGTACCAACTTGGATAAGGTAAAGTGCACAGATCTCAAGCTTCCGCTCAGTGAGTTTTTAGGGATGTATATCCCTGTGTATCCACCACCCAAACCAAGAAGGAATATGTCCATCCCTCCAGAAAATTCCCTTGTGCCCATTCCCGGAAGTCCAAAGCCTGGAAGTCTGACTCTGTCATCATAGATTCGTCTTGCCTATCCTTGAATTTCATATAACCGGAGCTACCGTGTGCCCTCTTCTGTCTGCTCTCTTTCACGTAACATTGAACTTGTGAGGATCACGCTTCATGTTCTAGTTGAAGATGGTTGTTATCGTTCTCGACTTAGAGGGAACCGCATCTCAGAGAAGGTAAGTGACTTGCCCAAGGTCACACATCTAGGAAATGGGGAAAGGGCAGGACTTTCCTGACTGTTCGATTCTATGTAAGATGCTGAGTCGGGGGTGGCAGGACCTCAGGAAACCTAGAGATATGGGGATTCCAGATGGTGGGGAGCCCCGGGGGCAGGACCTGCAGACCCAGAAAAGCCACCTGTCTCTATCGCTGTGCCTCGGTGCTCTGGGCTGCAGGGCAAGCAAATGGCAAGCTGCAAATTGAAAGGGGACCCAGTGTGTCATGAGCTGTCCCACCCTAGCCTGGCCCCTCTACTCCCAGCAGGACCCATTCAGAGAGAGGACAGGATCCAGAGAGCCAGGAAGCCCTGGTTGGTTGTTGAGTGTTGGGGGGGGGGGTGTGCTTGGGAGCTGCGGGGGTCGCCAGCCCCCATTAGCACCACCGTCATTATCCCAGATTTATGTGTGTATCATTCTTCTCCCCCCACCCCGTCTCTCCAGCACTTCCCCCGGCTGCAACCCCCCCCCCCAACAGCCGCCTGCCACCGGGCCATTAGCACGCAGGGAAGGGGGTTGGGGGGGAGGGAGCAGCCAAGCAGTCGGCAGTAGGGAAGGGATGGGGGTGGCGGGAGAGGAGGAGAGAGGAGGAGGGAGGCAGGAACTGGATAGGATAGGAGTTAGGCGGCAAGATGGGAGAGAAGAGGAAGGAAAGCGGGTGCGGAGGGGAGAGGGAGCCCAGGCGGGTGTGTGTATGGGGGGTGTGTGTGACACGTGTCCCATTTGGCCGCACACCCAGGGGCAGCTGAGGCTCTCCTGTGCCTTTTCTGGCCAATGTCAAGGCCAAGGAGGGACTCTGCTGGGCGCCCTCAGTGCAGGAATTATTACAAAGCCACGCTCCCGGACCTCCCCGCCCCCCCCACCCCCGGGCTGGGACCCGGCCCACTGTGTCCCTCTGCCTGGGACCCGGCCCACTGTGTCCCTCTGCCTGGGACCCGGCCCACTGTGTCCCTCTGCCGAGGAGCCCACTGTCGGGGGGCTGCCTCTGCGAGGCGCCGGGATCTGGGGGGCAGGGGGGTGCCGGCTGCTGGGCTCGCGGCAGCCAGGAGCAGACTATCCCCCCCCCCGTGGCCCCCTCCTCCCCAAGTCCCGCCCCGCCTTCCAGCCCCTCCGGGGGCGCACGAGAGGCCCTGCCATTCCGAGGGAAATCAATGCCACGTTAATGTAAGATTTCCAGGGGGGGGCGCTTCATAAAAGATGTATTGTTTCCATTGCCTGCTCGCGGCTCCCTCCCCAGCATCCCGCAAGATGGCGGCGGCCCCAGCGGAGGGCGCGGAGCCGAGCCGCCGGCCGGGGAGGGGGCTGGAGGGGGGAGAGGGCGGCCCCTCTCTCCTGCTGGGGAAGGTGGGAAGAGAGGCCGGGATGAAGGAAAGAAGGGGGAGAGAGAGAGAGAGGGAGACTGAGAGAGGTAGAAAGAGAAGAGGGGGCTGGGAGAATGATGGGGAGGCAGGAGCCAGTCAGAGGGAGGAGGGCGGGCGGGCTGGCGGGGGCGGGGGCGGGGTGGAGGGGGGAGGCTGGGAGCCGGGGGGAGGGAAGGGAAAGGCAGCCCAAGGAGGTGGCACCGCGGGAGGCTGGAGAGCTGGCCAGGGAGCTGGGAGGGGGACGGAGGTAGAGGCGGGAGGGGGGAAGGGGGAGCGGGGAGGTGGGGGAGGGTCGGGTGGCGGGGGGTGGGGGGAGGCCAGGAAGGATGGCAGGCTGGGGTGGGATGAGTGACAGAGGGAGGAGGGGAAGGAAACCTGGGGCGAGACAGGCTGTGAGGGGAGCCTGGTCCGAAGGGAACGGACCTCCCCCCAGCCCAAGCTGTCCCTAGGCTACACCGTCCCGTCTAGCCAGGGTCCCCTCCGGGTTCCTGTGCACCCTCCCCGCGGAGGTGAGCCAAGGAGCCCCTTCCCCCGACTTGGAGGGGGCTGCACCCCTTTGGCCTGGCTCCCCGCTCCCGTTCCTGCCCCGGCACCAGATGTGCCAAGCTGACAGGGAACACACCTCCCCCATTGGACTCCTGGGCAAATGCACAGCCTCCTCCCTCGGCTTGGCGTCTTCAGCTCCTGACAACCTCCCTTGTGGTCCGGCTGCCCTGCCCAGGGGTCGGCACGGGGCAAGACCCCCACCATGGCCCAACTCACGGCCTCCAAAGTGGACGCCGAAGAGCCTCGCCGCCCCCCCTTTCCTTAGCAGGGCCCATTGTTTGGCTACATCTGCATCCGTTCTATTTTCTGCAGAGGCATCTCAGAGGTCCCGGAGAGGGGAAACTGAGGCAGAAGACAGCCTAGAACACAGTGACCTCCTTATTCCTCAAGGGCCCCACCCTTGGCCCCAGACCACCTTGAGTCCCTCCTCTTCCTTGCCGGCTCCCGTCCTCCATTGAAAGCTGCGATGAGAGTTTCAAGGCCCCCCACCCCCTCCATTCCAACCTTCCTGCTTCACCATAGGGGAGCTCCCAAACGCCTGAAAATATCTTTAAATTAGGAAAAAGAGCTAAGCCGCCAGGGTCCTTTGGTCTATTAAAGGAGGAGCAGAGGCCACCGGCGCCCCCACCCCCTTTACTCGGGTTTTGCATTTGAAGCTCTGAAAGCGGATCCAGCTGGAAGAATGACAGGGGCCTGCCCAGCCGGCCCCGCTGCTTCCTCTTCTGCGGCCCTGTGCCCCCTGCGAGGTGTGCCAAAATTAGGATGGCTCCCTTCTCGGGCCCTTTTCATCCCCCCAGGGCTGCTGGGGCCTCCGAGAAGCTAATGAAGCCCCTGTGTCTGCCTTCCCTTTAAGCAGAGCGGGCCTGGGGGGTAGTTGCGGGGGGCGGGGAGGAGGGGGAGGCCGAGGCAGGACTGTGCCTGGAAATCTGTCCTCGAAGAACTGTCCCCAGGAACGTATTGAGGTGCCAAGCTCAGTCGGGTTCTTCATGCTCTACCCTTCCCTTCCCGGCTCCTCCAATCCCTTCAAGTCCTGGTGACGTCCACCTCCTCCAGGCAGCCCTCAAGCCTGCTGGCATTTGCTCCGCACCGTTTCTCTTGTGGTTGGGCAATGGAGTCCGGGCTACCTGGGGTCAGATCCTGACCCCACCTCTTTCTGACTGTGTCACCCCATCCCACCCCGGGGCAGCTCAGTTAACTGTTCGGAGCCTCAATGTCCCCATCTGTCAAAGGAGGATAATTACATATGTCTCCCCCTCAGAAGGAACTTCCTTAGCTTCTTAGCCCTCCTCACCTGTATTATCATCTCCTGACATATTACTTACCTGCACACAGGCTCTAGAGCCTAGGTTCAAACCCTGCCTTTACAGTTACAGGCTGTGTGACACCAGGCAGGTTACTTAACCTCTCTGAGTCTCAGTTCCCTCACTGGGCTGAATAAGTGACGTGTGAACGGAAAGCCCGCACAGCAGCGGCTGGCCTACATTAGGTGTTATTCCAGAACTAATATGGTCTGTATTATTTCTGGCCACCCCTCTCCATGCGCCCCTCCCGAGGGCTAAGTCTTCAGGGACAGTGGTGAGTTTATTCACTGTTGTATCCTCAGTGCCCAAATGGCCTGGCACACAGTAGATGCTCAATAAATATTCGATGCAGGTGTAACTAAATGAGGTTCTCCTGGACCTGCCTGAGCCTCCGTTTTCTCAGCTGGGAAATGGGATGCTAATAGCATGTGCCTCACAGATGGTAAGGATTCCACGGGATAAACGCCGCTGTTCCTAATGTTGAGAAATAATTCAACAGAGCAAGTGTGTCGAAGGTGCTTGGGAGACACATTTTATTGCCTCCAACACTGACGCTTGCATTCTTTCATCGCAAACGGCGCCCACTTGTTGAGTGGCAGTGTCGCCAAACTTACCTCCCAGCCTGCCTTGCTTCTGGAAGTGGCCAAGCGGCACCCTTCTGGCCGATGAGGCCCAAGCAGAAGTCTGTCCGCTGGGGGTTCACGGAGAGGGAGGCATGTTATTATCTGAGCTTTGGTTGTTTCATCTGTAAAGCGGGGATAAAACAGCATCCCGCTGTGGTGAGGGTCTCACAAGGGACCCAGCAGGATATGGAGGTGACCCGAGGAATTGGTTGGTGGGGGCTCTGATGCCATCTGGCTGCTGGCCTCCAACAGCGCCAGGTGCCAACTCCCGATTGGTGAGGGGAAAGCAAGTTTTTTGTTTAAGTGGCTGCCGCTAGGCATTTTGATAACTTGCAGCCCAGCGCACCCCCAAACGATGGCACTGAAT